TCAACAGTTTAGGTGAACAGTTTTAGGAGGGGTGTGCAGAGAAATCTTCAATACCCTAGTGAGGAATAACTAATCTTTGCGTCCTACCCAGTGAGTTATAAGTGCATCCCCGCTGACCATTTCCTGTCTGTTTCTAAGCTTTCCTTGCTGTTCTCTGTCTATTCTAGTTTTTTTTTTTTAATTTTTTTTGTTTGTTTGTTAGTTTTGAGGGGTTTCCGGTGCGATCCTGATGGTCATTGCCAGTGAGGGTGGAGACCCAAAGTCAGAACCAAGCAAGCATCAGAGAAAACTCCTCTTCCTAGTTCCGAAGGAAGTTTACTGTTCTGTTTCTGCAGACTGCTCAGTGTTCCTGGTTGTCATTCTGATGACCTTGGATCCTGCAAGGCAGGATATGGGCTTCTTCCTGGAAGAATTTCCTGGCTTCTGGCTTCGAATAGGCGTAGCACCAGCCATTGCATTCACTTGGGGAGTGAATCATTGGACGGAAGATCTTCCTCTTTGTCTCTCCTCCTCTCTGTATATCTGACTTTCCAATAAAAATAAAATAAATATTTTTTTAAAAAGAGTTTGTCTAATGAGGCCTTGAGAAACAGAGTGTAAAAAGAAGGAACAAAACAGTATACCTGCTTGTGGTAAAGAAGAATGCTTTGGGTTGTGTAGTGTGTATGTTCCAGTAAGGAGTTCTGGAGTGGAGATAGTCTGGCCTGCTTCTAGTACTGTTCTTCCTTATTCCTTCCCTTTATTATGGCAAAGTAGGAGTCTGTGGTAAAGCCAGGGCTCCAGCAGAAAGTGGGCTTGAGAGCCACAGTGCCAGCTAACAGAAACTGTTTCAAGATCTTATGCACATGGGCACTTGCATTTTAAGTCTGGAGGAAATATATCTAACAAGCAGGTTAAATATATGAGGTCCCAAAGGATAGTGTTAGTAGGGCACCCAGAAAAGCTCCACTGCTACCCAAATCTGAAGTTTTCTCACTGAGAGGCAAGTAGAAGTTGACAGGAGGGGTTTGATAGTTAGGTGGATGTTATGGCCTGGCCAAGTGTATTCGAAGTCCAGAACTGTTCATTTCTTTATGCAGGGTACTAGAAGAGACATCATAAGAGAGGTGTGAAGCTTTTCACGGGGAGACATCCCGTTGACTTCCATTTTCTGCCTGGACAGAGAGGAGAGCTGACCCGAATAGGAGCTAGTAAAGAGCAGACAGTGTCTCTAGATGAAAATATACCGTTTTACCTGTGGTGTTGCTGACCCTAGGCCATCCCCTCCATAGCGACCATTGCTTTGAAAGCTGGGTAGTGCAAAAGCTTTTTAGTCTGTGGCCTACCATGGTACCAACCCAGGAGACCTTTGATCCCCAGGACAGTTCCATTGCTAGTGGCCTGGCTCTTGGCAGAGCTGACAGGGTTCTTAGAAAGCTAAATTCTGTCATGGGCAGCTGTTTGTCCCATCTCTTGGCTTTCCACTTTGCAAGCAAGTGCTACTTGAGGGTGGACTGGCCTTGCTGGATCTCCTTGAGAGAGATTACTATAAAGTCACATTGATGGGCCTCCTGCTACCCAGCTTACTCCCCTTCCTCTGGGTCTCTGGTAAAGTGGAACACAGAGGCAGCCTTTGGGATGCCAAAGGGATACTCAGTTTTACCTATAAATCTTTAATGGACTGAGCTAGAAATTTGTAGTCACAGGCACATCCTGATAGGTTTACTGTGGTAAGGGAATGCCTGTGAGGAAATAATTAGGTTCCTTGGTCTTATAAATGAGCCATCCCTTTTGTAAGATCTGGAGATCAAACTGTATAGCCTGAAATGCCTTTAGAGTCTCAGAGAGTAGAGAAGTGAAGTAAGGAGTCAGAACTGTTAGACTGATAACTTTCAGAAGCAATATCAAGTGAAAACTATTAAATAAGCTCTAGAAAACATTGATCCAAAGGTTTGGTGTCTGCTATAAACTTGAGACAAATGGGCCCAGCAGCGTGGCCTAATGACTGAAGTCCACACCTTGAACGCGCCAGGATCCCATATGAGTGCTGGTTCTAATCCCAGCAGCTCCACTTCCCATCCAGCTCCCTGCCTGTGGCCTGGGAAAGCAGTTGAGGACGACCCAAAGCCTTGGGACCCTGCACCCAGGGGGGAGACCTGGAGAAAGTTCCTGGCTCCTGGCTCCTGGCTCCTGGCTTCAGATCAGCACAGCACTGGCCTTTGCGTTCACTTGGGGAGTGAATCATTGGACGGAAGATCTTCTTCTCTGTTTATCTGACTTTGAAATAAAATAAATCTTTTAAAAAAGCCATGAGAATATAACATGAATAGTTCATTTGATGGTGAACTTTAGTACAAATACACTAGTGACTTAAAAAAATTTTAAAACACAGTCTGGGGCCCGGCACGGTGGCGCAAGTGGTTAAAGGTCCTCGCCTTGCACGCCCGGGATCCCATATGGGCGCCGGTTCTAATCCCGGCAGCCCCGCTTCCCTTCCAGCTCCCTGCCTGTGGCCTGGGAAAGCAGTCGAGGACGGCCCAAAGCTTTGGGACCCTGCACCCGCGTGGGAGACCTGGAAGAGGCTCCTGGCTTCGGATCGGCATGGCATCGGCCGTTGTGGCCACCTGGGGAGTGAATCATTAGATCTTCCTCTCTGTCTCTCCTCTCTGTATATCTTCCTTTCTAATAAAAATAAAATAAATCTTAAAAAAAAAAAACAGTCTGAGATTTAAATCATGTGAATCAAGTCATGTGCAGCTTTACCTGGTGTGCCACAGCACCATAGGAATTTTACCTATTCTGATTTTAGAGTTCAAGAGACTCACTAGATTTGAACTGTAATACTGCAGTAAGGTGAAGCAATCCACCATGGGGGGAGGACAAGGGGAGGGGAAGAGCCTATGAAATGTTATAAAATTAAATGCAATAAAAAAATAAATAAGTAAAATAAAATTCATGTATTCCATTTACTACAAAAAAAAAATAGACTCACATTCAACGGGCTTATTTTGCTCCACACATCCAAAGGGCTTATTTTGCCCCACACTATTATACTAAAACTAGTTTAATATACTTTATTCTCGTCTTCTTAATTTCCAGTATTTCAGACTACCTATTTTTTTCTTTATTTTTGACAATCTACATAGTTAATTAGGGCAAAAAGGTTCAAGGGCTACAGGAAAATGGGTAAGACTATTTTATTTTCACATTGTCTTTGTCATATATCTGGGGTAAAGGGGGAGATAAATGGAGAAGCCCCACCTAGTCCCCACCCATCCCAGGTCCCTGATGTGGGGCATACTCCAAGGGTCTTGCTCAAGTGGTTTTTGTTTTTTTTTTTAAAGATTTATTTATTTATTGGAAAGTCAGATATACAGAGAGGAGGAGAGACAAAGAGGAAGATCTTCTCTCCGATGATTCACTCCCCAAGTGAATGCAATGGCCGATGCTATGCTGATCCGAAGCCAGGATCCAAGAACTTCTTCCAGGTCTCCCACGCGGGTGCAGGGTCCCAAAGCTTTGGGCCATCCTCAACTGCTTTCCCAGGCCATAAGCAGGGAACTGGAAGGGAAGTGGAGCTGGTAGGATTCAAACCGGCGCGCATATGGGATCCTGCGCGTTCAAGGTGTGGACTTTAGCTACTAGGCCATGCTGCCGGACCCAAGTGTTTTTGATAGTTCAACAGTTATGAATTGCTGCCACTCTTGCCATTCCAAGCACGATGAGGTCACTTTAGATTCCACTGATTGACATAGTTCATCTTAGAGTCTCTGCCCAGTTTTTCACTGCCAACGTATGGCTGAGGTAGTTGCCTGACTTGTCCTATCCTCTGTCTTTTCATGGTTAGGGTTCAGAGTCCGGCAGTTCGACTGGGGAGATTCCCCAAAGAAACTTTGAGGTTTTTCCAGACCAGATTCTTGTGTGCATTTAGCAAGTACAGGGTCCAACACGGTCCATCGCCCCAATCAGCTGGTGATTGCAATTGCTGGGCTGGCTCTGCTTCCAGCCCTGTCTTCCACTGGAACCAATGAGTGTTGCAGTCCAGCCTGGTTCTACCCAGCACACACTCGGCCCTCACATAAACCAGTGGGAGCTGCAGCCTAGTCGGAGTGACCCACAGTAACCCCCACCAGGCCCACCCCCTATCCTGGTGCCAGTAAGTGCAGCAGACTAGTCCAGTCTGTCCCACATCCCATTCAGCTCTCCTACATGTCAGTGGGCATTGAAGCCTAGTTCAACCCAACCAGCCCGACAATCCAACCCACACACACACGTTGTTGGGCGCCTTTCTGTCCAGCCACCCCAGCTCCTGTCCTGGTTTTTGTGCCCTCTAGTGGAAGAGGAGGAGCCCACTATTTCCCTTCTAGGCCACTCCCACTCCGGATTATACACTCTCCAGGTGGTTCTGCAGTGTAACTTGACAGAATTAGCCCCCAGTACCAGTTTCTGCCAGCTGATGCTGCAGCTAAACCCAACCAACCCTCACCCACTCTAATTTTTGTTTGCACCAGTAGGAACTATCAGCCCAGCCTGGCTTTTCCCTGATCTAGACCACATGAGGCCCACAGGTATTGTAGCCCTGCCTAATCTGGTCTGCCCCCATCCCAGCTCACGCTCTCCAGTGTGAGTAGCTGTCCAGCAGGGGTCAGTCTACCTATTTAACATCTGAAAATATCCACACCTTTGAATAAAAAAAGGAGATGAATTAGGTTACTGTGTTATTTAATGTTTGCCTTTCTTCTGAAGGAAATTTGAATACTCTAATCTTATGTTAAGCTACTTCCTGTAGGCCCTCCTTGCCAATTTTTTTTTACTGTTGCAGTTTTAAGAATATAATAATAAAGGTAAAATCCTGTCATGTCCAATGCTAAGAATTTTTAGAGCAAATATTGTGTAATAGAAGGGAGCTGGCTCTTGGAAGTCTTTTTATTCTATTGATTGGCGATTAATGAGCTGGTGTTTGTTTCAATGTGTGACTGGCAGTGGTCTCAGATATTTCTCACATGTTTTCTTTATCACAGATGATGGATTTTACATGTCAAGTTGGTCAAATAACCTTCGTTTTGTCAAGGTAAGATTTCCTCTCTGTCCCAGTAAAATGTGGGCTCTCATTATTGTAATATTCAGGTGAAAATAAGTGTACAGTGCTGCTTATTTCCAGTGTTGCTACAAAGTCCTCAGAGAGCGTTTTCAGTAAAATCAAGACAGGTGATCGTTTTTCCTGCATGGACTAGGGAGACGTTTTGATGTTACAGATCTTAGCTCTGGTTGCGATCAACCCTTAATAGACTTTGAACAAATCTTTTAAGTCTTTGGCTCTCTAATTTCCTTTTCTTTGTTATGAAGAGTTGACATCAGTGGCCTTCAAGCTCTTTTCCACTTTATAGCTGTGTTTGAAACTCAGGATTATAATACCTGAAAAGGGTTTGACCATCATCTAAAGTGATAGTGTAAGAGTTGATTTCAAAAACTGTAGATCTTATTTCTGGGTCTTCTCTTCATAGATATGTAGCTGAAGATAGTTATATTTACCTAAATAAATCACTGTCTATTTATTTATTAGAATATGTGTTTATTTATTTGAAAGTCAGAGTTACAGAGACAGAAGGGGACAGAAGAGTGATCCACTGGTTTACTGCTAAGCCACAAAGCCAGGATCCAGGAGCCTTTTCTGGATCTCCCATATAGGTAGAAAAGAGCCAGAAAATTAGCACCCATATGAGATGCTACAATGCAGGACAAATGACAACTTTATCACAATGCTGGCCCCAGTAGCTGGCTACTGAAATGTATGCTTTGGAAGAAACACCAGGTCTGGGCGGCTGAGAATGAAGTTACTCCTGGTCACCATGGAAAGTTGTGATTTTCCCTGTGGTGGGAGTTTGAGTCCAGCCAAGAAACCCCAACCAGGGTGAACTCAGGCTTGACCCTTCTGTGCACCAGCAGTGCCAGGTCAGGGTTGGTCTGTCACCTGCCCCAGCCAGCTGCCTGGTCAGTTTCATTGCTAACCCTATCACTCATGCAAACTGATGGTTGCTGCATCCCAGCTCAGCCCAGCTCAGCCCAGCTCAGCCCAGCTCAGCCCAGCTGGCCACGAACCCAGTCTCCACAAACACCACACACCAGGGACTGTTGCAGCCTACTTTGGGCTAACCCCGATAATGCCCACCAGGCCTGCCCCAACCCAGTGCATTTGCTAGCACATGCTGTGACCTCACCTGGCCCAACCTGCATCCTGTCTGGTTTTCATGCAGTCCCATGGTAGGTATGAAGGTGAGAAAAAAAGCGATAGGCATGAAAAACTGGGTGTGGTGGGAGTTCGGGGAGTGAATCACCAGATGGAGGTTTGGTGCATTGTGTTCTTGTATTTTCTCTCTCTCTCTCTCCTGTTATTTGTCCTCAAATTAATAAGAGTGTTTTCAAAAATGTTTAAGTATAAATATGAGTGGTAACATTTTTTTCCTCCCAGCCTGATACCTCTGTTATTGATGACACCTGTGTTTTGTCTGGGTAATGCCAGTGAATGCTACCGCAACTTCAGTCAGAGCCACAGGTAAATACAACCAAACACATTATTTTCATGGTAAACCATACCTTTTTTCTCTATAAACAGAGCTGGAAAAAGACTTTCTGCATACATTTTAGTCAAGGTACTTTTGTTGGAAATGGGTTTGGAATAAGGTAGAGTCAAGCCTATGAGTACATAAGTAAAAATATAATATGAAGTGACTATAAGATGAATGTTGGAAGGAAATGGGCAATGGGTAGGTTTTAGCAAAATGAGAAGTGAAATTGTGTACTCACTGATTTGTGTTGCATTGAATGACTAGCTGTCTTTGTTTCTGTTGCTAGGTGTATCCTCAGGCATATGCCACCACCATCCATGGCTGGATTCCTGACTTCTGTCAATACATCTGTCTGCAGCGCACTGTATTTTTATGGCGTCACTATTTTTTTGGCTAGCTTTCTACTCAGCCTCCTCATCATTACGGTATGGTGCCATTTTACCTGCCTTTGTGTTAAAACAGGGAATTGGGAGAGGCCTGTATATCCAGGATTCGTGGGCAAAGAGGCACTTCCTGAGATCCTGGAACTGAGAGAGTAACCAGGAGGTTTTGGCAATGTAATCAGAACCTCAGTTTTGCATTTTCCAAAATCAAATGATGAATAGGGAAAAGAGCTGGTATTCATCATGCGATGCTCATTCTAGAACAAATACATATTTAATTGATACCCAAAGGGTACTAGTCAGAAAACTTATTTGTGTCAAGAACATGCTTTTTACAGGATATGATATGACTAATCAACCAAATAATGAAATAATTTTTAGGTTTATTTATTATTCATTATTATTATTATTTATTACTGCTATATCAAATTGATGTTGAAGTGCTAAGTGACTCATACAATTATCAAATAATTGTTTTCTTTATTTTTTTTAAAGATTTATTTATTTTTATTCTTATTACAAAGTCAGATACACAGAGAGGAGGAGAGACAGAAAGGAAAATCTTCCGTCCAATGATTCACTCCCCAAGTAAATGCAGTGGCCGGTGCTATGCCGACCCGAAGCCAGGAGCCAGGAACTTCTTCCAGGTCTCCCACCTGGGTGCAGGGTCCCAAGGCTTTGGGCTGCCCTCAACTGGTTTCCCAGGCCACAAGCAGGGAGCTGGATGGGAAGTGGAGGTGCTAGGATTCGAACCAGCGCCCGTATGGGATCCTGGTGCATTCAAGGCGAGGACTTTAGCTGCTAGGCCATGCTGCCGGGCCCATAAAGCATTTTTTAAAAACATCTGGCTGGAGCTTTCTTGGGACTCCCATGTGTATTGTGACTAGAGCCCAGCAGTAAAAGAATCAGACATTTGATGTGAGATTCAGGAATTGGAGTGCATCAGGTTAAGTTGCCGCGTGTAAAGTTAGCATTCCATATGGCTGGTTCCTCTCCTGGCTGATCCACTTCCAGTCTGGCTCCCTGCTAATGTGTCTGACAAAGCAGTGGAGGTTCTTGGGCTCCTGAGCCCATGTAAAGACCCCGAAGAAGATCCAGACTTGTAGCTTAGGCTCGGACCAGCCATGACTGTCATGGCCATTTGGGGAATGAACCAACAGATGGAAAAATCATTTTCTGCCTCTGTTTGTCTGTCTCGTTCTCTCTTTCTCCCGGTGACTCTGTCTTTCAAGTAAAATAACTTTTATAAAAAAGTTCAAATAGGGGCTCAGCACGATAGCCTATTGGCTAAATCCCCACTTTGCTCACTCAGGATCCCATATGGGCGTCGGTTCATGTCCTGGCAGCCCAACTTCCCATCCAGCTCTCTGCTTGTGGCCTGGGAAAGCAATAAAGGATGGCTCAAAACCTTGGGACCCTGTACCTCCCTGGGAGACCCAGAAGAAGCTCCTGGCTCCTGGCTTCAGTCAGCTGCTGCCATTGTGGCCACTTGGGGAGTGAAGCAGTAGATGGACCTTTTTCTCTGTATCTCATTCCCTTTGTATATCTGCATTTCCAATAACGAAAAAAAAGGTTCAAATATTGACCATGATGACCACAAGTTTGGTTAGAATCTGTTTTCTATTCATGCCAAAATTCCTTCTACATATAATTTTTCTTTCAAAAAAAGCCTGCTTCCAGATGGTAATGACAGTGGTCTGTCCTGCTGTGAGATTCTTAGAGAATGATCCTTGTAAAAATGGTAGGAGAATAGACCTGCAAAGTTTCGAAGAAGCTTAAGCAAACTATTCAGTGCTTCTCTTACATTTAGGTCTTACTTGTCCAAGCTCGGACACTGTGTAAGAAGTTTGTGAAATCAGCTGGGCTTCTGGGGAGTGAACAGTGGGCAGGGCTTCACACTGTGGAGCAGCGAGTGCACTTCTACCCGGTTGCCTTCTTCTGCTGCCGTGGCCCAGGTGAGTATTTTAATGGGAAAATATGAGCAGTGAAGAGGGAAGCCATTGGATTCTGATCAGAGTGGCCTCACCAAGAAGTTGATTAATTTTGTCTAGTTTGTAATTATATGTGTGTGTGTGTGTGTGTGTGTGTGTGTGTGTATTTTAAAATCAGAGTGATAGAAACAGGCAGGTCTCCCATTCGCTAGTTCCCTTTCCTGATGTCCACAAGAACCAGTGCTGAGTCAGGAGCCAGGAGCCAAGCACTTAGTGTGCATCTCCCCATGGAGAGCAGGCACCAGCTACTTGAACCATTACCAGGTGCCGATCAGCAGGAAATTGGAATTGAGAGCAGAGCCGGGACTCAAACCCAGGCATGCTAATATGGGAAGTGATGCCTGTGCACTGAACACCAATCCCCAACTTTAAAATTTAGGTTAGCCCTACATATTTCCACTTTTTAAAAATCTCTCTAACTCCTTCTTTTTCTTTTCTTTCTTTTCTTTTTTATTTTTGTTTTATCAGCCTGATATAAGAGGGAAAATGATACCTGGCCAATTCCTACGACATGTTGTTGTTGTGACAGTTAAGTTAGATGTCTATGAAACAGCTTCATGGATTTTGAAATGCTAAGGATAGTGTAGATTATTATGTCTTATGTTGTTACCATATAAATAGTCTGCAATTTTTAATCAATAACAACTAGAAATTAGAGATCAAAGGCCTAGGGATTTGTATAACTGGTTGACCTCTCTACTTGGAGTACATTATACCTACTGTTTTCATTTTAATTTACTCCTTAGGCATTTGTACTAAGGAACTTATGTTTAGGGTAGGTGGGACTAACAAGATTCATACTTTGTATATTCATAGCTGTCATTTTGATGATCATCAGGCTGACCAAGCTAGAGTACACCAAGCTTCACATGGCCCTCTATGTTCTCCAGGTAACACCTTCAATATCTGATATCTGTTCTTATACCTTCTCATTCTGTTCTCTTACGCTATTATTACTCAGAACATTTTCCCCATCACAGTATTTATTTTTGTCTCACAAATGAGATGTATTATTTATACTCAGTTATGAAGTATGTGAAAGTTCTTGAGGGATGAGGTACATGTGTTTGTGAATGTGCTGTCCTGAATTCCAGAGCATGTGTCTTTGGTCAGCTTCATTTTATTGATCTGTTTTTAAGGGATGGTCATGAAAAAAACAAAAAGCCTGGGCATGTTCTATAAAATGCTGTTAATGATATGAATTTCTCTAATCCATAATCAGTCAGACAAATTAGCTATTTTTGTGAACGGAGCTGGGGGGTAGAATGATCTGTCTCCCTGTATCAGACTGGGAAAGCCATTTGGCATTGTATCATTTTGCTGTTTTTCCCAAGCCTAATGTATGAAATGGGGCAAATGGAGGGGCATTGAAACCACTTCATTCTCCTTATGTGTGTTTTAGGAAACATAGCCAAGTCTTATCTATGAAGATAAGTTTAGGAAAGGATAGAAAAATTAAAAAGAAGATGACAAGTCTTGATATTTAATATAACAATGCTTTATAAATAAGGGGAGTGGGGAGTCCTCCCAGATCTCTGAAAATGTGCAGGATGGGCTCCATCACGCGTTCATCTCCTCCAGGCTCTAACAGCATCCCAAGGTCTACTCAACTGTGGAGTATATGGCTGGACACAGCACAAGTTCTACCAACTGAAGCAGGAGGCCCGCCGTGATGCAGACACCCAAACACCATTATTAAGCTCACAGAAGAGAATCTATAGTAGGGACCTAGATCCATTGGAATCAACCCTTGCTTTGGCTTCCAGCACTTCCACTGTTCTTTGAAACTGTAGTACTGGAATATTCAGGAACTTGAATTATTCCTCTCCAATGGATTTGGAAGAACATTGAGGAAGCATATCTTAGAACTTTCCTAACCATGCCGAAAACTGTAGAGTTGAAAGAGGATAGTTTCATAGTTAAATCTTTGGGGTGAACTGAGCAGTATCTCTGCAGTCATTCCCAAATCCCTTAATGATTCTTCATATTCCTCTCTTGTGTCATCAATAGATGCTCAGCCTCAAGTTTGCAGAAGTGGTAGGGAAATGTGCAAGAACCTCCTCAGATATTGTCATTGCTCTTACTTTCTCTGAGGCCAGACATGGGACCTGGGTGAAGAACTGAGGGTAATAATAAGCAAAGGTGACAATAGGATCCTCAGACTTGTCACATCCTGGTCTCATATGTTAAGTTCAAAAGGGGCCAAACTGCTCTAGAAACTTAGAGTCAATCTTTTGAGTTATAGGGACAGTAAGAATGAAGAGAAATCAGGTCTGGGATGGGCCTTGTGGTGAGGCAGGTAAGGCCACTACCTGTAAGACTAGCACATGTTTTTTGTCCTACATACAGCACTTCTTGCACCATTCTTTACTTTTGTACTACCAGACAGTTTCAGGTGCCTAACCTTTTTCTGCCTCTAAAAAATTTATGGGCATAAAAAAAATTTAATGGCATAAGCTTTTACTACACTGTTTTGTTGCCCTAAGAGTCTCTGGATAGGTGTTTACCTTATTTTAATCAGTTTATTTTGATCCTTGCTCTAAAATTCCCTCTGTATTTGGCATATAAGGTACTTCCTTGTCCTATGTGATGAATGATACATATATCTCATTATTAATGGACAGCAAGGATGAGATCCTGAATCTGAAAGACCAGGGATGAGCTTCAAAAGGGAACAGCAAGTTCTAGAAATATGAGTACACTTTTCCTGTAACACTTGAGCAGCAAAACAAAAAACAAAACAACAACAACAGAAAGAAATTAGGCCTTTAGGAATTGAAGATGCCAGATTTCAAATCTTCCCAAGTCTTGAGAATAGATTGTCCTTCAGACATACCCATATCTAAGTAGTCATGTCCTTGAGACCATAATAGGTATATACAGTAGCCCAATGTAGCCTTGTACTGTGCATCCTTGGTAGAAGCATCATAATTTATTTGACTCCTACCAGCACATACACACATAGTACTCCAGTTTATAGTTATTGTGTGAATTGTGGGTAAATTTAAAAATTCGATTCTCATGCTCAATTTCCATTAGCTTTTTAAGAAGGATTTTAGATTTACTGGGAAACTGAGCAGGTGATACAATCTTCTGATAACATGTCTGCTTCCATACAGAATTTGCGCTTTGATTAGCACCTTGTCTTATTGTGGGTAAGTCTGTAATAGCTGATGAACCAATAATATTGATACATCAATATCAACTACAGTTCTTGGGTTGTATTAGGTTTCACTGTGTTATAAAGCTCTATGGGTTTTTACAGAGTGTACCATGTAGCCATTATTACTATATAATACAAAATAGTTCCCTTGCCATGAAACTCCCTCATGGCTCCACCAGCTCATCTAGCCCTTCTTCCCTCTGAATCTCTAATACCACTGATTTTGTTATCTTTTTCAGTACTAGCTTTTTCAGACTATCAGCTACTTAGAAAACAATATATAGCTTCTGCAGATTAGCTTATTTCACCTAGAGATATTCATCAAAGGTTGTTTATGTCTTTTTGTGGTCTTTTAGCCCTTTGCTTACCACAGAATAATATTCCATTGTGTGAGTATTCCACATACTTTGTCTATGCATTTGCTTATTAACAACATTGCTTACTGAATAACATTTCCTGGCTTTGTCAATTTTGAATAAAGCTACCATCTACTTTTATGTGACATTTTATGTAGTATGTTTTCAACTCATTTGAGTAAATACCCAGAAGCATAATGGCTAGATGATGTGGTAAGCCTCTGTTTTGCTTTGTAAGAGACATTGAAATTGTCCACCTAGGTGTTTATGCCATTTTTCAAAGGATTCAAGTCCTTTTGTGCCACATTCTTGTCAGCACCTGGTATGATACAGATTCATGTTTTAATAGATACTTGCATATTGTTTTAATCTGCTATACCTTTGTGGCAGTCATTGAACATGGTTTTACATATTTTGCTATCTGTATATATTTGGTAAGGTGTCTGGTCAGATTTTATCTTTAACATTTTTAAAAGATTTATTTATTTTATTTAAAAGAGAGTTACGGGGCCCCATGCATTAGCCTAATTGCTAAGGTCCTTGCATTGCACACCTAAGATCCATATGGGGCTGGTATGTATCCTAGCTGTTCCACATCCCTTCCAGCTCACTGAGGGTGGCCTGGGAAAGCAGTAGAGGATGCTCCAAATCTTTGGGACCCTGAATCCACGTGGGAGACTCAGAAGAAGCTCCTGTCTGTTGATTCACTCCCTAAATGGCAACAACAGCTGAGGCTGGATTAGGTCAAAGCCAGGGATGTGAAACTCCAAGTTTCGCAGCTTAGTGCCAGGATCCAAGGACATGGGCCATCTTCCACTGCCTTCCCAGATGCGTTAGCAGAGACCAGGATCAGAAGTAAAGTGTATGGGAATAAGAAGAGAACCCTGCTATTCCTCAACATAAGCCTTTAAAAAAAGGATTTAATTAATTAATTAATTTTGGAAAGACAGATCAGTTTTATGAAGAGAAAGGTAAAGAGAAATAGATCTTCAATTCACTGGTTCACTCCCAAAATGGCTGCATTGTCCCGAGTTAAGCTGATCTGTTAGATTTTATTGTATAATTTCCTGACAAGCTTTTCTCATGTAATACTCATCTCAGAAGGTAAGTACTATGGAGAGGAATGCAGTTTGAACTTTGTAAAGCATAAACAAACTGCTTCCTCATTTTGGAGCGACCCTGATGAGGAATATCTGGGTTTTGTGACTTGTGGTGATTGAAAAGTTATGAGGTTAACAGGAAATGTATCTTGATTATTGTGATTTGTAACAAAGAAAGCAGTGATAATTGGAACAGATGTTTACTTGATATATTTTCTCCTGAGCAGTAGTCTTAAATTCTGTGTTTGTAATCTGCACAATGAATCTGCAGATTATTTGTAATTTATCCTGTTTTGCAGTTGATGGCTGTAACTAAAGGAGTATATCCAAAGCCACAGAGCCACGAAAGATGAATAGAGATTCAAATCTAAATCACTGTAACTTTGAAAAGTAAATGCTGTGAACAGTCTTTCTTATTCACCTCAGGGTTGGCCAGTGGTACAGGGCATGCTGTCTCTGAACTAACAATTGAGATTTCAAGTTGGTTAATGAACTAAAGAGGGAAGAATCCAATAGGCCTAACAGACTATCCCTAAACCCTAACCCGATATCTTAGAAAATATTTTAATATGTGAGCTATGTCTGGGTGTAGACCAGATGTAGTTTGGCTGTAACATCCAACAGTAAAAACCAGAATGTGAGAAGACCCATCAGGAAAGGCCATTGTTCCTGCTAAGACAGGAGGTGTACTAAGTAGGGCTGGTCCATAGACCCACTAGTGTGCAAGATCTGGCCTTGGGAGAGATTCTGATGGAGGAGCTTGGCAAATCCTCTGTCTCGACACAGCGCCTGCAGATGAGTGCAAGAACCTTGATAAGGAGCAGCTCAGATTAGACCAAGTAACGATGTCCACTGACATTCATTTGGCTCAGGGTGGGGGCAAGCCAGGCTGGGCCAGTTGATATCACCTGTTAGTTAATCTGAGCACCAAAATGGATTGTGGGTTAGGCTGGGTTAGGCTGCAACACAAGCCAGTTCTCATTAGGGCTGGTTGGGCTGGACTAGGTTGTAACCGCCACCAGCATGAGCTGGAATTTGGGGTGGGCTGGGGCCAGCCAGGCTGTAGCACCCACTGGCAAATGCCGAGGTGAGGCAGGTCGTTCCATACTGGGCCACAGCACTCAACCATCACACATGAGACCTGCAGGGGAGGAGGCAAACCTGGTAGGGGGCTGCAAGAGGCTCCCCTGCTGGACTACCACTCCCACAAAGTAGGAGCTTGGGTGGGAATAGACCATGATGAGCAGGGCTATAACACCTGTGGGCCTCATGTTAGCTAGGTCGAGGGAAAGCCAGGCTGAGTTGACTGTTTCCACTGGTGGATGCATAAGCCAGAGTGGTGTGGGTTGGTTGGGCTTTGCCACAGCATCAGCATCAGATGCTAGCATGGGGGGCAAATTCTGTCAAGTTAAACTGCAGAACCACCTGGAGAGTGCAATATCCCGAAGTGGGAGTGGGCACCTCCCTCTTGGGTTGCCACTCTGACTAGTAAGCATGAAAACCAGGATTGGGACAGGCATAACTAAAGAGAGAGTGGCAACTGCCAGCACATCTATGGGCTGGATAGTGGGGCTAGTTGGGTTGAACTAGGCTTCAGTGCCTATTGACATGTATGAGAGCTGAATGGGATGTAGGACAGACTGGATCAGTCTGCTGTACATACTGGCAAGCACGGGAACCAGTGCATGGGGTGAGCCTGATGGGGGTTATTGCGGGTCACTTCAACTAGGCTGTAGCTCCTACTGATTTGCATGAGGGCCCAGTGTGTGGTAGGCAGAATCAGGCTGGGCTCCAACACCCATTGGTTTGCATGGAAGACAGGGCTAGAGTCAGAACTGACCCAGCAATTGCAACTACCAGTGTGTGCAACAGACTGTGCCAGACTCTATGTTGGCAAGCACACATAAGAATCAGGTCTGGGATCACCTCAGGTGAAATTTCTGTGGGGATCCCCCCCAGCTGAATTGCTGGACTCAGAAGCCCAGCCATGGAGAGAATTGCAGGTTCTGTGGTCTGACTGTGGAGTGCATGTGTCAGAGCTGGGCCTCCTCAGTGGTTCAGATGGAGCAGTGGACAGCATGCCCAGGTGCACATGGAGGACATGACAGTACAGTGGAGCCTGCAGAGGACACCTGGTACCATAAAAGAGGGTGGAGGGGGACAGAACAAATTGATCACTTATCCCAGCCAAGTGTTAATAGTGAATATTGGGCAAAGAAGACTATAAGGTAGACTATGTAAACCAGTGGATTCTGGAGATTTCATCGTGCTTGAAGTGGCAAGATTGGCAGTAATTCAGAACTGTTGAACTATCAAAACCTCTTAAGCAGGACCCTCAGAGTTTGACCCACACTGGGGACCCTGGGGTGGTGTTGGGTGACTGTCCTCTGCCCCAGGGTACAGAAGCACTTGGGAGGCTGCATGTGACCTCTCCCCTTATCTTCTCCCTTCCACAGATGCAGGAAGGAAAAAAAGAGAATGTGGAAATGATGGTCTCACCCACCTTCTTGTAACCCTTGACCCTAATCACCTTAATCAACTATCTAAAAATCATCAAGAATAAAATAATTATCTTTTTTAAAAAAATTGCAGCTGATGACACAAACTGGTCACCATATGAAGTTATGGTATCATAGCTGGTAGCTTTACTAGTACACCAAATGCTGACCCCCCAAAGCAAAAATATTTAAAAATAAATGAAGATAGTGTTTTTAAAAAGATTTATGTATTTTTATTGAGAGGAAGATATACAAAGAGGAGGAGAGACAGAGAGAAAGATCTTCCATCCGATGATTCACTCTCCAGGTGGCCATAAGCGATGGTGGTGAACTGATCTGAAGCCAGGAACCTGGAGCTTCTTCCGGGTCTCCCACATGGGTGCAGAAACCCAAGACTTTGGGCGGTCCTCAGCTGTTTTCCATGGCTACAAGCAAGGAGCTGGATGGGAAGTGGGACCGCTGGGATTAGAACCAGCGGCCATATGGGATCCTGGCTTGTGCAAGGTGAGGACATTAGCCACTTGGCTACTGCACTGGGCCTGAAGATAGCATTTTACTAGATATTGGTGCAGTAAAATAAAAGGAGCACTTAAGCTAGGATCTCATTTTGTAAAAGTAATTTTTGCTAGGCCTTCTGAAAACAATAGAAATTTACAATTCAGAAGTTAGGAAACAGTATCACCATTTCAAGACTCCTTAGGCCACGTGTTCCTGCACCTCAGTTCTTTACCCGGCCCCCTTTAAACAAAGCCTGGGCCCCCAACTTCCAGTTTTTCTCTAATTAAAATTATTAATTGTCAGTTGTCAACATCAGAACAAATTGTAGGGACATATCTTTGCTTATGTGAAGGTGCTCTCTCTCTCTCACTCTCTCTTTCGCACACATGTACTCACTGCCTTTCAAACAAATAAATATATTTAAAAAAGAAAGAAAAATCTAGAGCCTGCACTTGGCTAGGCTTTGGGAGAAGCTAAGGGAGTAAGGGAAAGGGTCTGGTTACTCTGCAAAGAGCAACCAAATCCTAGAGAAAGTAGGGAAGCACTGCAAAAAGTCACCATTGGGGCCAGCATTGTGGCACAGTGGCTTTAAGCCATTGCCTGTGACAGTGGGATCCCATGAATCCTTGTTTAAGTGTAGCTGCTTAGAGAGCTGAGAAAGATAATCCAAACTTGGGCCCGGTGGCCATTGTGCAGTGGTTAAGGTCCTCGCCTTGCACGCCCGGGATCCTATATGGGCACCAGTTCTAATCCCGGCTGCCCCGCTTCCCTTCCAGCTTCCCGCTTGTGGCCCGGGAAAGCAGTCCAGGACGGCCCAAAGCCTTGGGACCCTGCACCCGTGTGGGAGACCCGGAAGAGGCTCCTGGCTTCGGATTGGCATAGCATCGGCCGTTGCGCTCACTTGGGGAGTGAATCATCGGACAGAAGATCTTCCTCTCTGTCTCTCCTCTCTGTATATTTGCCTTCCCAATAAAAATAAAAATAAATCTGAGAGGCGACAAAGAGGAAGATCTTCTGTCCGATGATTCACTCCCCAAGTGAGCGCAACGACCGATGCTATGCCAATCCGAAGCCAGGAGCCTCTTCCAGGTCTCCCACGCGGGTGCAGGGTCCCAAGGCTTTGGGCTGTCCTGGACTGCTTTCCCGGGCCACAAGCGGGGAGCTGGAAGGGAAGCGGGGGCAGCCGGGATTAGAAGCGGCGCCCATATGGGATCCCGGGCGTGCAAGGCGAGGACCTTAACCACTTGCGCCACTGCTCCGGGCCCAAAATAAATCTTTAAAAAATAATAATAATAATCCAAACTTGAGCCCCTGTCATCCCATGGGAGATCTAGATGGAGTTTCCAGTGTGCTTAGACCTTGCCCAGCCATTACCACAGTGGCCATTTAGACAATACGTCAGCAGATGGAAGATCTACCTACCTACCTACCTACCTATCTACCTACCTTTCTTTCTTTCCTTCCTTCTTTCTTTCTTTCTTTCTTTCTTTCTTTCTTTCTTTCTTTCTTTCTTTCTTTCTTTCTTTCTTTCTTTCTTTTCTTTTCTTTTCTTTCTTTCTTTCCTTCCTTCTTTCTTTCTTTCAGATTTATTTATTGTTATTGGAAAGTCACATCAAATTTATGAAAAGAAGGAGACAGAGAGAAAGATCATTCATCTGTTGGTTTACTCTCCAAATAGCCCAGCAGCCCAAACTGAGCCAATCTGAAACCAGGAACCAGGAGCCTCTTCCTGGTCTCCCACATGGGTGCAGGATTCCAAGGCTTTGGGCCGTCCTTGGCTGCTTTCTTAGGCCACAGCCAGGGAGCTGGATGGAAGGTAGAGTAGGTGGGACACAAAGCAGCACCCATATGGATCCTGGCACTTGCAAGGTATGAGGATTTATCCATTGAGCCAACATACTGGACCCATATCTTTCCTTGTCTTTTGCTCTCATTCTGTAGTTTTGCCTTTCAAATAAATAAATCTTTTTTAAAACCTCTTCATCAAATTGTCTTGCGATGGTACTCAGCAAGGCTAAATACATCCCGGCAAGTTTCTGGATTATGTTCCTTATAATGCTCCCAAGCACCTAAGGGAAAAATTCAAGAGAAAGGGCAGACTTCCTAGAAGTTGGAACAGATTCTGTCACACAGGGACCCCTCTGGGGGTTTATGAGGGCCCCATACTCAAACTTTGGAGATTTAAGATCCAAAATTCTATTTGCTCATTCCTGCCCACATTAAAACTAGTTGTTCCCTGCCATAGTCTATATCAACAGGCTTTAACCTTTCACTACAGTTTGTTTTATAAATATTGTAAAACTTATGTCAGCTTACAACATTGGCAAAATTGCATCAAGAAATGTTTCAGTTGTAAAATGGCTACTTACTGGGAAGATACACCCTGCTAAGATAAAAATCTTTGCCATATTAATATGATTGGTTCTGGTTAAATCACTCACTTGCTCATACTAAGCATCATATAGTGAACTGCACTCTCAAATCCAACATGCCAATCCCAGTCCCTCCAACCTGCCATACTTTCGAGATCCAATAGGGGAGAAAATATCAAATCATGGTGTTAATGCAAAGTAGTGGCCTCATGAGAGATGAGCTTTTGTAGAATTTTTATTTCATAGGAGTGACTGAGGAAGAAGAGCCAGGCTCTGGGCGGTTAAGAACAATACCAGGTGTCTTCCTCATCACTTTTTCTTGAAATACAAAGCTGATTAAGACATGGTGCATGCAGATGTGATCATGCCTGGGGAGGGATGCAGGTTCCCACCCTTAATAGCCAGCTCAAGAATAGGCTGTTTTGTACCTCTTCTTATGGACAGTGTTGAGGTTTCATTGAGGAACTGGGTAAATTAAATTAAAATAATGATTGGTAGTTTGTCTAATAATAGTGTCTAGCACAGAATAAATGAAGTAAATTTTATATTTCCATAATTGCATTATGTTTTCTTTCAAAGTAATTGACACCTCCCATGCTCTATTCCTGCTACTGGAGAGATTTCCTGATGTTTAAGTTTTTATTTAAGTGTTTAACACAGACTAACTTTAATTTCATACATATATTCATCAGTGTTGCAGGATCCAAATTTACCTTTATAAAATTAGCACAAACATTTTTTTCTGAAGATTTTGTCTTATGAAAGGCAGAGTCACAGAGAAAGTGGGAGGAGAAGAAAGAGAAAAGAGTTTTTCTATCTGCTCGTGTACTCCCCAAATGGTTGCAATGGCTGGAACTTTGCTGGTTCAAAACCAAGATCTAGGAATTTCTTTGAGGTCTCCAATGTGAGTGCAAGGTCCCAAGGATTTAGATCATCCTCCGCTGCTTTCCCAGACACATTAGCAAGGAGCTGAACTGGATGTGGAGCCACCAAGACTGAAACTGCTACCCTTGTGGGATGCCAGTGCAACAGGTGGCAGCTTTACGTACTATGCCACAGCACTACCCAGTATAGACAGTTTCTAAACTCTGTTATCAGAAAGCTAGGGATATGAAATTTGCCACAAGAAAATTGGGAAAACAGAAAGGCTATGAAAGCTGTGCATGAGGGAAAAAATGGTTTAGATAAAAAGACAGTATGATTGTAGGTAGCACCTAGAAATACTAGCAATAAGGAATTGAATGTACATGTGTCTCGTTGAAAACCTGCAAATTTGGAAAAGTGAGTGACTTCATTGCCAGCTAGTTAACCCAGGAGCAAGCAAGGTCCTCTTTTAAGATCTAGTCCTTCCCATGGATCCACAGAACAAAATGTACTCAGGAACTACACCACATGGAACCTGAAGTGTCTAATAGGAATACAGGTTTATTTAGTTTGGGATTTGAAATTTTCTTGTTTGAATGCACAAGTATAGGGCAAGTTAGAACAATCACTTAAACAGTTGTCCTTGTATAATAGGTAGTTGTTACTGAACTGAAAATCATAGTAATAGTGATAAATCCAGGCACATCTGTTTATATTAAAGACCATCCTGAAGATACCATGTGCTGAAAAGACTTTCTGGTGACTGAAAAGATTGGTCCAAAGAAACAAGGGCATCAATGTCTACTTGTTTGTGAAGACTTCAAATGAAATATTTTTTAAAAAATGTACTGCGATATTTAATAAACTAAATGAAAGTTTCTATAAATTAGTATTGAAAATGGATCAATATCTCCTCCTTACATTGATGTAATTTCAGAGACTATGGAGGTCTAGTTAGAGCTACGGGGGCCTTCGATTCTTTCTTCGCCTTTTCTTTGCCGAGCCTGTCATTCCCATTTAGCACTTGAGGAGTTTGATATATTTGGCTTCATCCTCCCACTTCTTAGGACTATCCTTCATCCTCTTCCTCTTCTTCCTCCTCTTCCTCTTCCTCTTCTTCCTCTCCTTCCTCTTCCTCTTCTTCCTCCCCTTCCCCTTCCTCTTCTGGTGCTTCAGGTGGAGCTTCTGCTGGTGGTGGGACTGCTGCTGGTGGTGGGACTGCTGCTGGTGGTGGGGCTGCTGCTGCTTCAGTCGGTGGAGGAGCTTCTTCACGTTTGCCAGTCAATGAACTTTTAAAAAGGCACAGGAAGCAAATAATTATAGCTAATATTAAGAGTGCTATAAGTATAATGATTATTAATATTGTCTGATTTACAGTTTCGTCCTGTGCAGCATTCTCACCATCTCCACCTCCTGAGGGTGGACCAGCTGGTTTACCAGGAGGGCCACTGTCTATGCTGCCCCCATCTCCCACAACACTGCAATTAGGGGGTCCATAGCCCTTGCTGCAGTGACAGTGTCCTAAGTCATTACAAACCCCATTGCCATGACATGTTGTGTCTTGATTGCAGTTAAAACCTGGCAAGTTTAAATCACTACATGTAAAGTCCTTACAACTTTGGGTCGGGGAACAGTAAGTGTCAGGACTCACATCTCCTTTGTCAGGGATGTCAGCCTTGCCAGTGTGGGCATCCATGCTCCAGCACCAGTTATTTTCATTAGGACTCTGGACCGCTGTATGTTGAGATTCAAGTATTGGGACATTTGATATACCTGTACAGATAAGCTTCCCACATAATACGTTTTCTTCCGAACACTTTGTATATGGACCCTGACCACTTTGGGGACGGCCACAGTTTCCAAACCTGTCCCCTTTTCCGTTAAAAAATGCATAACATTCTTTTGGGGCAGATTTTGCAGGGTACCCAAAACTGGACAAACATTGTGTATCAGCGTCCATGCATTTAGCATTCTTACATCCATATTGTTTATGACACAGAGTTCCATCTTGTTTATATCTGTCTTCAGGACATACTGGAGACACACCATCACAGTATTCTGGAAGGTCACATGGTCCTGCAGGTTTACGACAAACCTGTCCAGAAGGTGCAGCTTTACAATCAACACAGCAAGGTCCAAGGTCACACAAGGCCCCCCCCTTCAGTTTACATTGTGAGTCACAGCATTTGCTGAAAGAACAGGCAGTGCCACAGTCACACTGCTCTGAGTCTTCTACCACTCCATTGCCACAATTTCCGGTCCTGCGCACACGACTTCTATGCCACGGCTTGTTAAACAGGCAGGCCCCTCGGTGTTCACGAAGAAAGTGGTAGAAGTAGTCAGAGCTGCAGTTGCTGAAGCTGCTTTCTTTAGTGACATTTTCACCCATGAGGCAAAAGGGTTGACCTTTACAAGCACAGGCTGAGTGGTCATGCTGAATGCCAAGGTTATGCCCAAGCTCATGCACCATGAGTGCTGCAAACAGGAGGACGTCTTCATGATGGAAGGATTCCACAGCTGCCGCAAACCCACCTGAGCAGGCCCCGTTGAGAAATGCCTGGCCCATATTCTCTCCAGGGTGATGCCCAACAATCATGTGGGCAACATCATGCCTCACACGATGGACGAGCTCCTCTTGTCTCCAGCTGTTGAAGTTCCTGAGTGTGACTTGTAAGTCTTCAGCAACCTCTACCAGGTTCCTCTCAGTCCAAATCTCCATTCCAGCCAGCACCACCTCTGTGTTTATTCCCCTAGTGAAACTGTTGACCAGAGCAATGATGTCCATGACTCTCTGAACTGTCTCATTGATGTTCCTGCCCCACATCTGGAACCTCTGGTTGTCGACCACAACAAACATCTCCACATACTTGATGTGTGACCACAAATAGGTCAGCGCCTGTGAGTTAGGAAGCCTCTTGCCACCTAGTTGCTGACTGGTAGACACTCCTTGGCCGCCTTTAGAAGTGGCACCACAGGAGACTCGAGTTCCATGTGCCATGGTGTACAACACATGTTCAAATTGTTTGGAAGAACGTAAGGGCTCAATGCTATAGGTTGTCTCCCCCTTTACCAGAATGCCCCTGAGGCCTGAACAGGTGTTGATAGACACGAAAGAGCCTGGCACCCCTTCTATGTAGCCTTCATAGTGGCAGTCGTGTGGAATGAAAAGCATTTCTTGCTCTAGCACCCCATCGTGATAGCTGTAGACTGGAAAGTCATTCACGAAATAATCTCTCTTCACATTTAGGTGAATCAGGTGCTTCTGGCCTTGTATAAATAGTACATATGAGGGCTTTCCCCCTGGTTTTTCCCTTGTTTTTTCACTTTCATCAATTGTCAGAGTGTCAGGAATGACCGTTTCATAGGAAGAATAATGTACTAAATCCATGTATATACTTGGGAGAAAAATCACCCCCCAGAGCAACATGGTTCCCACTCTGAAACATGAGAGACCTGGAATTGGTCCAAGCCCCAGACCTTTCATTTGGGGACCCAAAGATTGAAGCAGTCTCCAAGTCTCATATAAAAACACATGAGGTTGCCAGAGGGATGATAGGGAAGAAGCAGAGACTCTCACCGAGGTTGTTGCCGACATGGCCCTGGTGAATCAGTTGATGATGTGGGACCTATGTGCAGCAGCAGTAACACTTCATGACACAGAATTGGATACAGGAATTAATGTCAGATTTATGTAGAAATTATGGTTCCTGATTCTTAGACTTACAGTTTTCCTGTTTTGTTTGATTATAGTTAGTCTTTCTAAGTCTCTGTCATCCTTCAGGTCATTCTTTGTCTGTGTTGCTCTCCCACGGCATCAGCTTCAGTGCTCCCTGGTTATACTCCTTTTGACATCATGGAGGGATGTATTATGAAGGATTATACACTCTATAATGCAGGATGATACCTTCAAAGAGGAAACAAAATCTCCAAACCTCACTCAACAGGGCCACACAGAACACTCCTCCCCTCCCCTCCTGTTGTCCGTTACTCAGCTAACTCCAAAGATTCCAAACCAGGGGGCTGAGGAGACCTCTTTGGTGGGCACACTTCATTGCTCGTTTGCTGTTTTCTGAAACTCTTCCTTAACAGCACATGAATGTATTAATTCAAGTTGATCTTTTCTGCTCATTGAGGCACATAGATGTGCATGCATCTAGAAGACCAATCTGTTGGTTCTAGCAAGTGAGGTGGCTACCCTGTGCCTCACTCAATGCAGACACCAAGGGTTTGGGGACCTATCAGATAAGACAGTGTACTTACTCAAGATAGTATAGATTGTATAAAGAAATGGTATAACACTGCCAACTATGTAGCCCTATTATGTGTGATTGTCATGGGCACATTGTCTGGTAGTCCTGTGACCACATATGCTTAGTGAAGGCTGTGTATCCTCTGTAGTGGAATGTAATCTCTGTGTTTTCAATGGCCACATCCAAATGCTCATCCTGACTCCCTATGGGAAGCCTAGAGAAGCCCTTGTCCAAGAGCAGATGACCAAAAGCTATTTTTTATGAATGAATAAATGATTTGTAGGAATGAGTGCTAGTGTGTCATCGGTTATATGCTCTTTGTTTGTACTTACTTTGTGCCTGACTTAATGGTTAAAAACACCTTCAGGAACCTTCACGTGCATATTAATGTTGTATACTAGCACATTCACAATCTCCAAATTTTTATCCTACCATGTCCTGTTCGTCAGTTGACAGGCTTCACATTTCACTGAAGTACTCAAAAGAGTGCTTCCACATGTGGGCCCTGGATGAATTCACAGTATCTAAATATCTCTGCTACCGAGGGCAATCTCTTCACTCATGTGCAGGTCTCTTCCCATTTCAGTTTCTTGTGTACCTCATTTTTATAATGATCCCATTGCTTCTTTATACCTTATACATCTGTTCATGAACTGACCTCCTCATAGGCTGTAATATCTCACCTTAATAGAACTATTTGCGTCAATCCACATCACTCCCCAATAACTGTTCAAATCTTATGTCTGATGCACAATGAAACTGAAAAAAGGGACACGTGTTTGCTGTTTATAGTCTTTTTATCTGTCATCCTGGGTGACATTTTATAATTATAAAACACGTTCCATTCATCAAAAAATGCATTTTAAAATTTTTAAAATTTTTTTTATTAGAAAGTCAGATATACGGAGAGGAGGATCTTCCATCTGAATAACTCCCTTACTGGCTGCAGTCGCCAGAGCTGAGCCGATTTGAAGCCAAGAGCCAGGAGCTCTTCTGGGTCTTCCACACAGGTGTAGGGTCTCAAGGCTTTGGTCTGTCCTCTACTGCCACAAACAGGGAGCTGGGTGGGAAATGGACCTGCCAGGACATGAAATGGCACCTATATGGGATCCTGGAGCATATGCAAGACATGGACTTTAGCCATTAGGCTACTCTACTGGGCCCTAAAATGTGCATTTTAAGATGGATATTTAGGGGCTGGCATTATGATATAGTAGATAAAGCTACTGCCTGTTAACTTGGCACCTTATATAGATACTGTTTCAAGTCTCAGCTGCTCTACTTTCTTTTTTTTAATTTTTAAAGATTTTATTATTTAATTTTATTGCAAAGTCAAATAGAGAGAGAGAGGGTGAGGAGGAGAGACAGAAAGATCTTCGGTCCGATGATTCACTCCCCAAGTGACCACAACAGCCTGTGCTGCACTGATCTAAAGCCAGGAGGCAAGAGCTCTTCCAGGTCTCCCACGCAGGTGCAGGGTCCCAAAGCTTTGGGCCGTCCTCGACTGCTTTCCCAGGCCACAGGCAGGGAGCTGGATGGGAAATGGGGCAGCCAGGATTAGAACCGGCGCCCCCATGGGATCCTGGCACATTCAAGGCGAGGACTTCAGTCACTACGCGTTGGGCCCTGCTGTACTTTCAATTCAGCTCTCTGCTAATGCAGCTGGGAAAACAGCAGAATATAGCTCAAGTACTTGGGCCTCTGTACCCACATGGTAGACCCAAATGAAGTTCTGGCTCCTGGCTGCAGCTTGGACTACCCCTGGTGATTGTGGACATTTAAAGTGAACCAAGGATGAAAGATTCATTCATATTCTATCTTTCTCTTCCTCCCTCCCTTCATCTCTCCTCTTTCTTCTTTTCCTTTCTGTAACTCTGCTGTAAAAATAAACATAATTTAAAAATTGATGCAGGTCAAGCTTTCAGGCAGTGTTTAAGTTGCCTCTTGCAAATTCTGGCATTTCATGCTGTTGTGTTTGGATGGAGTCCCAGCTACTGTGCCTACTGCTTCAGTTTCCTGCTAATGCTCACCCTGAGAGGCAGCAGACGATGACTTAGTGATTCGGGCTCCTGCCTCCCACACAGAAGACCCAGATGGAGCTCTGGACTGCTGGCATTGGCCTGATCTAGCCCTAGCCATTAGGGACACTTGGACAATGAGCCGGCAGACGGAAGATTTCTCTCCATCTGTTTCTGTTTCTTTAACTCGGTATTCCAGTGTCTTTCAGATAACTCTTTAAAAGGATGTATATCTCAAGGAGTTATTGCAAGTAGAAAAGCCAGGTAGCCATCCTTTTCTTCAGGCAATAAGCACTGTGAGCTCCACAGAAGTAACTTGTTGCTTCCGTATAATTATGTTTTCTCACACATGAAGCTATCTTTTAGAGTAACTGCTTGTTCATGTTTCTTTGTAATTTTGCCTTTTACATGCACAATCTATGGTGCATTTTTTCATTTCTTGCTTTGATTTTTTTTAAAAGATTTATTCTTTATTTAAAAAAAAAAAAAAAACAGATTGAAGGAGAGAAGGAGAGACAGAGAGAAATATCTTTCATCTGGGCCCGGTGGTGTGGCCTTGTGGCTAAGGTCCTCGCCTTGAATGTGCCAGGATCCCATATGGTCACTGGTTCTAATCCCAGTGACTCGACTTCCTCTATATCTCTCCTCCTCTCTGTATATCTGACTTTGTAATAAAAAAAAAATCCAGGTGACTAATGTTTCCTTAAAAATGAAATTCTAATGAGTAAAATCAGAGCATTTAACTAAAAATGAAACAAAACAAAAAAAAAGCATCTTTCGTCTGCTGGTTCACTCCCCGAGTGGCTGCAATGGCCAGGGTTGAGCCAATCTGAAGCCAGGAGCTTGGTGTTTCCTCCAAGTCTCCACATGGGTTCAAGGTCCAGAGGCTTTGGGCCATCCTCAACTATTTTCCCAGGCCACAAACAGCTGGATGAAAATGGAGCAGCCAGGACACGAACGAACACCCATGTGGGATCCCAGCAGTTATGAGGCAAGGATTTAGCCCCTAGACTATTGTGGCAGACCCTTGGCTTTGATTTCATGTGAATATATTTAATTACAACTTTAACATGGCTTACTTAGGCTTCATTTAAATACCTTCCATATTACTATGTGAAATCATAGTTTGTTTCTTTCCATTGCTGTGTACACTGAAATTTCTCTGTGAATCCCTCACAATTCATTTTTTAATTATATGTCTTACCTTTCTTTTGTTTTCTGTTTTTTTAAGGTTTCTTTATTTTTTATTGGAAAGTCAGATATACAGAGAGGAAGAGAGACAGAGAAGTAGATTTTCTGTCTGATGATTCACTCCCTAAGAGGCTGCAACAGCTGAGGCTGAGCTGATCCAAAGCCAGGTGCCAGGGAATGATGGGAAGTTAAAGCAAGCTGTTACACAGTCTGATTACTTTTTGTGAATGTCCAGGATATTATAAGTAATAAATTAGGGACAGTAAATATACACAGGGCATTTATGCTGTAAGTTTATAAACTAATTTGTCTTTCTGTTGATCATGGGAATGATTGTGTTTCTCACATGCTTCAGCAGAAAAACATAGTCATCAGATATAACTTAATCATGGTAATGTTTTGCAGTCATTGAACTAAGATGAAAGATTACTGACTGAGTGGGATACGTGTGTAAATTGGTGTTACATGTTTTGCAAAGTATCAGAGAGATAGAGAAACTGCATATGTGATTTGGGTGGAAATGGAAAGAGATTCTTCTGGGTCTCCCAGGTGGATGCAGGTTCCCAAGGCTTTGGGTCATCCTTGACTGCTTTCCCAGACCACAGGCAGGAGTTGGATGGGAAGAGTGGCTGCCAGGATTAGAATCAGCACCTGTGTGGGATTCTGGCCCATGAAAGGTGAGGATTTTAGCTACTAGGCTACCACACTGGGCCCAATGTTATCCTTCTCTATTAGAGATGCTAATGTAATATGATACAAATCCATTTTAAATAGAAATAGAATGCTAAGCCATGAGATAGGTAAAAATTTAAGTTTAACTAGAACAACAAAAACTGTACTTTAAAATTATATCCCAATCTGTGCTTCCAAAGAAGTATGATAATGTACACTGCTATACCTTCTCAGGAATACTCGGTATTGGGTTTTTAAAATTTTCCAAAGCTTTGATACAAACAAATGTCTTTTGGGGCTATGCTTTGAAATACCCTGAATATTAATGAGAATGAACATCTTCATAAATATTTATGGACCCATTCTTTCTCTATCAATTCTAGCAGAGTAATGTTTTCATTTCCCCACACATACAGCTCAGCTACCACAGATTACCAGTGAATGACTGCATTGTGAATAACATG